CCCCCCCCAGTGACGCTATTGAGCATATTCAATATAATATATAAAGACTAATTGCTAAAATTTATCCATCAGGAAATATTTATCTTATAATTAATTAAAAGTTCATATTCCATAATAACTGAATATTTTATCTTTTTACAAGGGTACTTTCAATTCTCTCTTTACTTTGTTTATTTGATGGTAATCAAAACTTTCATTTTATAATCTAAGCCTTGGTTGTTGCCATGTGAATATGGCCCTAGCCTATTAAAGTATGTTTGCGAATAAAAAGCGACGAAGGGTCAAGTTTACAACAATCTAAAAAGTTATTTTATTTTTATTTCATAATTTAAGTAGAATTCCTTTTTGTTTTTGAGTAAAATTATCAAGTACTGAATTATAAATGTTATTGCTAAATTTTAAATTTTTCAATAAGTTATTTTCAATATAAATCAAAAATAGATTTAAAATTTTTAAAAATAGATTTAAAATTTTTAAAAATAGATTTAAAATTTTTTAAAATAGATTTAAAATTTTTTAAAATAGATTTAAAATTTTTTAAAATAGATTTAAAATTTTTTAAAATAGATTTAAAATTTTTTAAAAATAATTCATTAAAAGTCAGCGGAATATCTATAAAAATATTTTACAAAATTCTAAATAAATATATTCGCTTAAAATTATTTTGTGCATCAATAGTAATGTTTATAATTAATGGGCATCATGGCGCAAGGATTTATAAATTCCTTTGCATGATAAAAATATCCTTTACAATTAGTGAAGGTCACGGTCCGGTCTTTGGTCAGGACTGGACCGATACCCTCGGACCGGACCGGACCACGGTCCTTAAAAAAAGACCGATCCAGACCGTTGTTTTTAAAAAACATATTTTTTTAACCTAATTTAATTTGTTTTATCATTTTATTAAATATAAGAGTATTATATAAACAATATAAAATTAATTATGAATAATATAATAATTAATACAAATATTTAATTTAAATAAATGCTAATGTCTTTGTTTGTAGAACTTCCTTGGAAGGAATTAAAAGATGGACTTAATGGAGGTGGTAGATCTATTCCATTCTTTAACCAAGAGCCCATACACATCAAAGCTTGTATTGTTTTGTTTGAAAGCCTATTCCTTTTTTTAGTGACAAGATCTCCTGCTTTCGAAAATATTTGTTCACAGGGGACAGATGTTGCTTGAATTGCTAAAAAATTTCTAGCTGCTAATGAGAGGACTAGAAATCTATATAATAAACTATATTGACTATTTAAAAAATATAAAAGACCTTTCACTATTGGCTTTCCACCATACTAATATGTCATCCTTTAATGAAACAAGAGGTTCATTCAAATAGGTGTGAAGTTCTGATATATTTTCTTTAATGATTTCTGCCGATATATAATCCCCTTCTGAATTTCTTTTTTGGGATAAAATTTTTTCTAAAAAACTAAATTCATTGATTTCTTCCTGGCACAAATGTTTGAAAATTAGGATTTAATAAATAAAAATTAAAAATATACCTGAAAATCCGTTATTCCTGTATTTTTTTTATTTTCTATTTTCCTTAAATATTTTGAAAATTTGGTCATATACTCAATTCTATTAAGAGTATTAGGCATGTAAACTTGTTTTAATCTCGGATCCAATAATGTTGTGACATATGATTCATAGCAAAATAATTCTTTGAGATATTTCTGCATTTTAACCAGCATGTTATTAAAAATTTCTTTTCTTGTATTGTTATTATCCTTTTTTATATTATTTAAAATTTCATTATTTATATTCTCCATATATAACATGAAAATCCCAACTGTAGTATATTTGGATCCTGATAAATCAAGTGTGGTTTTATAGAAGGGCCTTAGAAAATCTACCTCTTTAAGGTCTTCTTTTTCACACTCAGTAAAGAAAACACCTTTAAATTGTTTGTAATTCAAAAAAAGTACTTCTTCTATAGCATCCATGTTCTAAAAATTAAATATTTTTTAAAAATAATTGGATAAAAATGTAAATACCTCATAAATTGTATTCATCATTAAATAGGAGCTATTCCATCTAATAGGGATATCAGAAGGGATTTTAAATTTTGTAATACCCTTATTTTCACATATTTGTACATATGCTTGATTTATTTTCGGTGATTTATTTATAGAAAAGGCTATGTCTCTACACTTTTCTATTATAGTTGTAATATATGATAAACCTTCCTGAGATATTAGGCTTAGAATATAGGCACAGCATCTAAAGCCTTTAAATTTTTGTTCCTTATAAATATTCTGCAAAATATCCATGCTTTTTAGGATGTTATTGGCATTATCTGTAGTACAGGCCAGTATATTCTCCTTTAATTGATATACATCAATTACTTCTTTTATAGCTAAGGATATTTCTTCAGAAGTATGAGGAAATGGGATATGATTTATATCAAGTAAAATATTTTTTAATGTAAAAGAAGAATCAATATAGTGTGCAGTAATGGCTATAAATGAAATTTTATTTTTATTGCTCCACATATCTGTGGTAAAGCTTAGTAAAGAATTATTTTAATTAAAATATCTTTTAGAGAATTTCATAGTTTCTCAAAATTAGCTGTATAAAAATTTTTAACTTTGTTTTTTGACCAAATTGTAGCAGTTGAGTTTAAATATTTGATTAAATTATGAAGACCTGAACTTTCAAAAGTCTTCATTGGCAGATAGTCCATTATTACCTATTTTGTAATGAGTTGATTCATATGATCTGTTTGGAATTTATCCAATGGTATTGAAGAAAGTGATTTTGTACTTGTGGAGGGCATATTTAAATTAAGAGTAGATTGTGTTTTTGAGATATTTTCATTTTCATTATTAGAAGTATAAATTTTATGTTTTATCATGTCTGCTTAAGGTACCTAATTATTTTATTAAGAATAAGGTTAAATTATTTTGACAGTGAATTATTCAGACAGTTTCTTAAGGAAAAATAGATATATATAAATAATAACCAAAATATTTTAATAATAATACTGCTTATTTTGATTAAATTGCTTAAAAAATTATAAACAATTATTTTGTTACTTGTTGCTGACGATATGTTAAATTTGGTATTACAGGGAACACATATTCTATGTTTTTTATTAGGACTATAAGTAAAATGTTTCTTGGACAAACTTATGGTTTTCATATTGTAAAAAAAAAATTAACAAAATCTAAAATAACTCCTCTAGAAAAATATCATAAAATAAAATATACAAAAAAATTATATTAATTGAAAAGTAAAGTAAACTTAAATATTAATAAAGGTCCTCAACAAAAAGATCGGCCCGACAATCGGTCCGGTTCGGTCCCGGTCTAAGACCGATAGGACCGGACCGTTGACCTTCACTATTTACAATCTTGAACTAATATCTTTAGATATAAATGGAAAAATAATAATATTTATATCTTTTTTTATATATGTTTTAATACTATATTTTTTTTTTATTATATTGGTCTAAATATTTTTATAATATACATTTATTTAAATTATATGTTCATAGATATGAGATAAAATTTGCACTTAAATATTTTTATTTTTTAGATAAAAAAGCGTTAAAAAAAGTTATAACCAGATTTGATTTTTATACAACTCTGATAATCTTATATTAAACATTAATTATTGCTTTTTAAAAATAAAAATATTTTTATTTTAAAAAAGCAAGGAAAAAAATATAATATAAAAGATTTTTCTCTTTTATTTAATAAACAAGTGGACATTTTTTTTATTTTCTTCCCTAATGATTTTATTTTCAATGTAAAATTACACAATACAGTATCATGATTTTCACTTTATTTATTAAAAAAATAAGTAATATTAAATTTGCTTCCCTCACGTATATTTTTTTTAACGTAGTAAATTTTAGGAAAAATAATAGTAATTCTTCTTATCGTAATAAAAATAATATTAATATTTTTATTATAAAAATTATATTAATTATTTTTAACGAAGTCAGATTAGTTTTTTAAAAAATATTATAAAGATTATATTTTATTTAAGAATTTTATAAGTCACTGCTTTATATAATCTCTAACAATTTTTTGCTCAAATTATTATAATAATGTCAGCGTCTGCACAACTGAAAATATATAGGAAGCAAACTCGTCTGTAAATCCTACCTCCTACACCCCCCCCCCCCTTCTATAAATATACGGAATATATAATAATAAATTAATTTGTTAAATTTGTTCAAAAAGATTATATGGGGCATTGCTTAACAATCTCAAAACATACTTTTAAATTAGCATTTTAACTAACAGTAGTGCCTAAATAAATGATTCCACACAAGTCAATTGTTTTATCCATTATTCTAAATATCCAATAAAATTGCAACATAAATATTTAAGTAATAGAAGTTAAAGTATCATGACTTAGTTATATAAATATGAGTTTTAAGTACAATTATCAGAAGTATAAAATTGCTATTAAATTACTACAATGATGACTAAAAGTAAAAAATTCAAAAGCAAAAAAATAATCAAATTAAATCAGAAAGTGATTTACATCCAGTACATACATATATCTTTTATACCTTTTTGGTCAATTTATGTGTACCAAATAAAATTAATTTAAATTATATTCAATAAATTAATATTGGTCAATTATTCTTTTGAAATATTCGGCATTTGTATTGTATAATATAATAAAAATGCTTTGATGATATAATTAAAATATTGTTAATTTAAGACATTTTATTTATAATAAATTTAATGCAGAAAACTTACTTTAATTTCTTAACAAAAATAACATTTTTTTAGACCAGATGGAACTGGACCGACGGTTTTACGATCTGGTCTCACTTAACTTAATGTTAACGGTCTATCAGTCCGGTCCTATAAAAAGGATCGGATGTGACCTGACCGTTATAAACACTATTTTTTGTCATTCACCTAGTATATAAGAGGCAGTGATTATATTGTACAGCCAAAAAGGCTTACAATTTAGCGGACCCATATGGTAAGAAATATCTCAATGTGGACGATGTGTTATATAAAAAAACAATCAACAAAATTTACAATTTGAATCATCAGTGAAATTAAAAATGATGGTTATTAATATATTTTAAGTTTTATATCAATCCCCACATTTATCATCAACGAAAAGTAGTTTATGAAAGATAGTACTATTTTGATTTAACACAACACTTTCGAATTCTAGAAAATTTAAAGAAAAAAATTAAATAATGCCGTTATATTATATATTGATGAAAGTTTTTAGCCATAAAATATAATATTATGAAATCCGAATATAATATAATTTAAATTTAAGCTTAAATAAAAGTGTGTTCGATCTCATTCATTATCCTATTAACCCAACGATAACACCGTGTGCTACTAGATTTTTCAAATCAAGTTGATGAGTGGTAACTTCATCTCCTGGACCTAAGATTTATTTTTATCAATTATAATTTTCAAATAAAGTTTAATAATATTAGTATGGCATAAATTATATTATTATTTGTTAACCAGAAATTGGAAAGTTTGATCAAATCAGACATGAGAAATTTATTAAACAAAAATCATGGAGATTGCTATTAGGCATCTAAATTATGCAAGTTTTACTCAATTAATTTTTATTATTACTCTTTCTAACAGGCCACTTGACGGCAGAGTAGTAGTTATATTTAATGAATAACAATTTTGCATGGTAATCATTAAATATATTAAAATCCCGATAATCATTTTTAAAAAAAAATTATTCAAAATTTGATGAGTATTGAAACTTACAAATATTAATATCATCTAGGGGGGTTCCCAAAAGATCTAATATTAAATTATTTGATTTCTTTTTAAAGATTGTCTAGAAATATTGATCTAAGAATTGAAATATATATATTTAAATTAATTCAAATAATATATGCTGCCCACGCGCATAGTAAAAGGTTATAAAATATAAATTAATTTTTTTTTTAATTAACACTTGTATATTTTTATTATAAAAAAACGAATAAGATAGTCGCTTTTTAAATTTTATTGAGGTAGAGTAGTATTATTTAATAAATATATTTTAATAAAAATTTGTAAGTTTTTTAAAATATATAAAAATTATATTATTTAAAAATATAATATATTTTTTATTATAATAAAATTTCGATATTTTTATATTCTCAAATATTATTAATATATGATTAATTCGTTGGCATACACCGAAATGAGTTACTACTATTTATATTTGAAAACAATAAATTTATTTTACTCTTTTTCGGTGCGCGAAATATATATATAAAAAAATATTCAAATATTTAATTTGTTTATGTTGCCAAAAAATATTAAGATATCTAAATTTTCTTACAAATTTTATAAAAAAATTAAATTAAACTGGAACTTTGATGAATTCAAAAAATATAAAATATTATTTATATTTATTTATCAATTGAGTCCTTCATAACTATTCAAAAATACTACAAAGTTTTATCAACAATACTTATTCTTTTTTCAACATTTTTAAAGTTATTTTTACATTTTAGAAATAAATGATTGAAAAAGTTTTTATAATAGAAATGTGGGATTGTAACAAATAAATATTTAATTATATAGACAAATATACCTGGAATTGCTTTGCCATGAATTATTAAAGAATAAGCGAGGATTGAAGTAATGAATATCTAGGGTCATCAAAAAAATATAGAAAAATAATAAATTTTAAATTATTTAAATTTCCAACCATTAAGTATTCTGAATAAATCCGTAGCATTTTAATACATTTTAAGAAATCTAAGAAACGTAATTTTATATTAAATTATATAAAACTAATCTGAATATTATAAATAAAATAATATTACATGCTCCAGGTTATAAGCAAAAAAAATCAAAAAAATTGTCGATTACAATAATTATGATTTTATAAATAATTTATTGAAAATTAAATGATGAGCATTGACCAGATTGAAGCATACAAAGAGATAGTTCAAAAATATCTAATATATTGAGAAAATATATAGTTTGATTTATATTAGATATAAATATCTAAAAGTTATGATATTAAACGATATATTAAAGTTCGATGATTTTGAACCAATTGTTGATAATATTTACAGAATTTGTATATTTTCAATATACGTAAAAACGGAGAATATATAAGGAGTATTTAATCAAAAAAATAGATGAAGTTTTTTTTTACCTCTAACAAGCTATAAATTTAAAAAATATTAGTAATTATGTATTTCGATTCCCCATTCAAATACGGCCTAGTAGAGAATATTCAGTTTGGAAAAAAAAAATCGTTATTCGCTCTCAAATTGATTTATTAGAAGCTGAATTAATGATAAAGCAAAATTTTCACATGAATTGTGAAGAATTCGCAGAATTTACTTCTAAAGATAAGAATATTTTTTAAAAATATGAAGATTTCTATTTAATTTTTTTATATTTGATTTTATATGAAAAATTTTGAAATGATTGATAAATTTGTAATTTGATAAAATAAATTCACTAAAACTTATACAAAATGTAATTGCGTTTGCCCTATTTAATCCTGCTTTTTTAAAATTTATAATCATTTTAATCAATGAAAGTCCTATATAAATTTTATAATATGGTAGGTCTATTAGGAATAGGTACACAATTTTATTTAAATAATATGTATCATCCTTTCGTAATAGATATAAAATTCGTTTTAGATAGTGTTGTTAAACTGCTCGATTTGAGCCTATAAAACGGCTCTCCTTAATTTATTAAGAAAAATATTATGCAAGCCTGAAGATTTTGGCTAAGTTGTCATCATTTTAATATTTTAAACAAAAGTTTTTTTTGGTAGATACAGTTATGTATTTACAAAACCATTTATATTTAAGTCCATCAGAAAATTAAATCCATCAGATATTTATGTTTTATTTACATTTTAATTCACTTTCACAATAATTTCCAATATTTTAGGTATCTTCTTTAGATCATTAATGCAATTATTTCTATGATTTAAAGATCAAAATAAGAAATACTCGCATCTTGACAAAATAGAGTTATTTTTTATTATTATATGTAAAACATATTCATATACATACTAAAAAAATTATATATACATGTTTTTATGGATAAAACATTTTTTATTTATAATTTTATCCTGTCTGTTTTAGAACTTTTTTAAAATCCTTTGCAATTTTTAACGATGGGCCTTCATTTAATAAGGAGCTGCATCTGACATTAACTCATTTGTAAGGTTAGTTTATTAATAGGTTGCCAGTTTGTTGCGCCTAAAAATACTCCCTATTATTCCTGCTGATTATTTTGTATAACTCAATATAAAAACAATATTTGGTTATTTTATTTTTTTAATAGAATTTTATATTTATTCCAAAAAGTCAATACATGGTACTATATTTTTATTATAATTCTATATCTACTCACAAGGATCCTACATTTTTTTGAAGTTTGCCAACTCCAACAGTATTCCATTTTATTCATGTTGATTATTTTGTGAAATTTACTAAAAAATTATTATACATTGGAACGAAAGAAGAATACATATTATAATATTTTTATTATTTAACTAATATTTTATATCTATTCTTAAGGATCCTAACTTTTTCAGGCCACCTATTGATATTTCCGCACAATATTTCCCTCTATTTTATTTTTAACAAATCACGACGTTACATCATATGTTATAACATTTAATTAATATAATATATCTAATCTACCTCATAAAAAACTTGCCTAATTAGTTCCCCGAACAAATATATTAACAATTTAATTGTTTAAACCCAATATAATATTTTGAACCTATATTAATATTTTGTTAATCTTGGTTTCCAGCCCTATACTATAGTATAATTTAATTGCTTATATTTTAATTTAATGATTAAGCTTTTCAAAATATTATGATACTTCTTTTAATGGTTATTTTATAATACCCATGATTTAATATTCTATTATTAAAGTAATGTTTAAAATTATAATATATTGGTCAATCTTTTTACCTTCATATGCTTTTTTAAGTTTAAACTGCTGGACATTAAGGTTGAAATATTTGCGTTGGAATATAATTTACATTTACAAAGTGTAGACTTTGTACCCTTAATTTTCTTTATTGGTTTAAAATATGTTTCAAATTGAGGCCAGGTAAGGGTTAAATCATCTTCATCTGAAGCAGTAATTACTAAGGACCAAATATTCTTCAAATAAATTATAAAATAGAATAATAATATTATTATTAACATTTACTTTGAATTTTGATTGAATAATTGATAAATTACGACTAAAAACTTAACAACGAGAATTTATAATAAAAATGAAGAAATAGCTGTTAATATGAACTAAAAACTCGGCTAAAATTATTAAAAAATAAATAAAAGTAATTATATAGTACAATAAAACATGTGTTTCTTTTTTTAATATTTTTTGGGAAAAAATTTAAACAAGTAACGTTTTGCGTTATCGTTGAAAAAAAGAAACTCGTTACCGTTACTCGTTACCTCTAGAAGAAGGTACCGAATAATGTTCCTTTTCTTCAAAAAAGGTAACCACGTTTTTTTAACGTTACTTTACAGCACTAGTATGAACATATCTATAACGGATTAACCCAATCAGTGGGGGATTTGTAAAAAGAAAGAGATCCTTAGATTTTAATTTATTATTATTAGGATTTCTTTTAATACATATATCAATTAAGGCTTTGTTGTATGCAAATATATATTTAGATGAGTCCTTCTTAATTGGGTGGTATTCAAATTTATATAGATGAACCTATAGTTGAAAAAGAAACATATAATTTTTTATTACTTATTTTTTGTTATGAATTTTTACGAAATTATAATTTTGGAATATTAAAAGTGCAATAAAATAAAAAGATTTGAAATAAAAGAAGATCATTCTTGAAGATAAAAAAAGAAAAAAAATATTAGAATTAATCAGGTTGCGATCTCAGACTAGTGATTATACTGAGGGTAACATCAGTAAGATTACCAAATTCTATAAATTATATATATTGCATTATGTTCAGTCTCTCCCACTAGCCTCAGCAATATATATCAATCCCATATTGGTACAGGCTTTACGCCGTAAATCTTTATCTCACCTTTTTTTAAATAATTTTGGTTGTTATGGCATATCCAAGAAATATGTAAATCAATTATAAAAATTAAAAAATTAGGCAACTTACAAGCATATTACAATTCTAATAATAATAAATATATTTTATTTATGATTTTGAAGAAGTAAGTAATAGATTTAAAAAGGTTAAAAGAAATGTAGAATCTCCATGCTAGTCTTGATCTAAACTACTTTATATTAAAAAAAATTAAAAAGAAAACTCCCTTTATAGTTTTTGTCCTTAATATTTTTTTTGGTCAAATTATATTTTTTAATAATATTAATGATCTTATCATTCAAACATAACATCACCATTTTATCTGATATAAATCATTAAATTTAAAGAAAAATATATAAATAACCTTGATAGATACTTTATTATATATAAATTCTAATTTAAAATTAAAATCTATATTTTTTATATTATCATGCATATAATATATAATAAAAAAAAGGAAGATACAAAAGTGGAGCAGAAAAACTTCATGATAAATATTGTAAAGAACTTAAGGTAGGTGGTGAAAATCCAAAACAGCAAAATCTCTTTTCTTTTCAATATAACAACTACAAATTTATCTAAAACATCTTCATTTCTTGAAACTTCTTCAGACTCATTTATGCTTCAAAAAAGGTGATAATACAATGTTGCCTGACATTCAAATTCTTACCATGGAAAGTCCACATAAATCACATCTAAAAAAATCATCCATCTTTATGTTTATTATAAATATCTTCACCCATAATAAGTTTTGATTCATGTTCTAATATAACATCAGATTTTTCTCATACTCAAACCACAAATTTAATAAAATGACCATTAGCATTTTCTATTAATTTTAAAGGAAACTTCATCTTTATCTACATTACAAATACCTTCATCTTAATCTACATTACAAATACCTTCATTTTTATCTACATTATATATACCAACATCTATGAATTCTAATCGAATATCTGGCTTTTAATGTACATAAGCAGCAAATTTAAAGAAAAAGATCTCATCTATTAATTCAAATTTATTTTATTTAAATTCAAATGCAACAGTTCCACAAAAACTTGCCTTTTTACAGCAACATCCCATCCAATACGTGAACCTGAGACTAAATACATCGCGTTTGTATTATAGAGTAGTTATGGAAGATAAAGTACCACGAAATTGGTTTTCAGTTGCTATAATTAATCATGAAATTAAAGCTATTTACTGCTCAATTTGTATAGCTTTTGCACCCTAACCCTAACCCTATTCTGTTGTTGAAATTCATAAAAATTCAACTGTTCATATCCACGCAGTGGAACACTTTTTTAAGACATCCAGTGAAAACAGCATACAAGAATTCAGTTGATAATAAACTTAGGAAAAGCAGATTTCAAAATACTTATATAATAAAACATATATTTAAAATTGTTAAGCGATTGCGTCAAAATATGCCATATGGTGCTTCTGATTGTAATGAAACCTTATTAAGTTTTGAAGATATAAATTTAATCATGGCAATTTTCTAGAACTGATACATCACCTATTTAATTATGATTTAATCTTGAATGATCATTTAAATAAGGCCATTCAAAGAAGCAAACATAGGAAGGAAAAACTTAAACTCTCAGGCAAGTTATATTGCAAGGGAATAGGTTACTTAATTACCTTATTAACACCGTTGACAAGGTTATTGATGCAATTCTATACACGCTTAAAAAGCGAATTAAGGAACAATTGGGAAATAAAA